GGGCAACAAAATGGCAGCTGAATTTCACTGTTGATAAATGCAAAGTAATGCACATTGGCAATCATAATCCCAACTATACGTATAAAATGATGTGGTCTAAAGGAACTCTTACCACTCATGAAAGAGATTTTCGAGTCATCTCTGTAAACATCTGTTCATAAAAGCTAACCGAATGTAAAGAACCATTAGGAAAGTGATGGATAAGAAGACAGACAATATCATAATGCCACTATATAAATCCATGGTACATCTTGAATACGTCATGCAGTTCTATTGGCCCCATTTCAAACCAGATATATTTGAATAGGAAAACGTACAGCGAAAGGAATAAAAATCATTAGGGGTACGGAACAGCCTCCATATGAGGAGGCTATTCAGCTTGGAAAAGACAACTGGAGTTGGGGTGGAGATGTGATTACAGTTTATAAAATCATGGATGTATAGAGAAACTGAATGGGGAAATTTATTTACCCCTTCACAGAACAGGAACCAGGGGAAATGATCAGGTAGAAGATTTAAAAACAAACAAAAGGAAGTACTTCTTCACACAACACACAATCAATCCATGGAACACATTGCCAGGGATGTTGTGAAGGCCAAAAGTATAACTGGGTTCAAAAAAGAATTAGATGAGTTCATGGAGGATAGGTCCATCAATGGCTATTAGCCAAGATGGTCAGGGATGCAACCCCATGCTCCAGAGATCCCTAAACCTCTGACTGCCAGATGCTGGGACAAGAAGACAATGGATGGATCATTCGATAATTGCCCTGTTCTGTTCATTCCCTCTGAAGCACCTGGCACTGGCCACTGTTGGAAGACAGGATTCTGGGCTAGATGGACCTTTGGTCTGACCCAGTGCAGCTGTTCTTATGTCCTTAGTTATTTTCTAGGTGCCTAAAAGTTTCTAGGTGCCTTTGGGGATTTAGGCCTAAATTTCCTTTGAAAATGGGACTTTGGCTCTAAAGTCAGTCGGTGCTTTTGAAAATGTGCTCTGAGGATCTTCTGTAATTCACCGGGGGTGAGATGTTGCAGAGCCACACAGAGGATCTAAAAGCACCGCTCCCATTCATTTCAATGGCAGCTGGGTATCTCAGGCCCCAGTCTCAGCCCTGCATTCCTTCTATGCTGTATGTGTCACGCTGCCAGGGAACAGAGAGGCCTTGGGGGCACCAGACCTGATGTAGAGGCTTAGGGACTTGGTCCAGACCAGTGGTTCTCAAACTTTTGTACTTGTGACCCCTTTCACATACAAGCCTCTGAGTGCAACCCTCCCTTATACATTAAAAACACTTTTTAATATATTTAACACCATTATAAATGCTGGAGGCAAAGCAGGGTTTGGGGTGGAGGCTGACAGCTTGTGACCTCCCCCATGTAATAACCTCACAACCCCCTGAGGGGTCCCAATCCCCAGTTTGAGAACCCCTGGTCTAGACAGCCCTTTGCCTCCAGCAAATCCTCCAAGTGCTGCAGGGCAATGGGTTAAAGTCGTATCCATTTTACAGCAGTGTAGGATAGGATGTTCTGCTCCCATGCAATGAGAGGGAACAGAATATGAAGAGATCTGGATGTCAGAGAGTTAAAGCCAAGCAACTTACAGGGAAGGG